AGCAGACTCCTGTGGAGGCAGGAACACAGCAGGTTCAGGTCTTATGCGCAGTTTGGGGACAAACTGCCAGAGCTGACACTGAGGCCTCAGCAGGGGACAGTTTACACAGGACACTGAATTCAGGCTAGGATGCCTCAGCTTTATCTTGCAGACAGTGAGGAGTCACTTTGGGGCAGAAGCTGGGTCAGATGTGTGACTGTAAATGGAAGGTGTTGGGGACACAAGATTGGGGATAATCAGTAGACTGCTGAAAACAAAAATATGAGGAGGGCAGGGAAGGTGGGAAGGAGCAGATGAATCCCCATATTTAGGAAACAGAATTGTTGGGGCCAGAATGAAGATTGGATGTAGAAAGAGGGGAAGGAGGCAGGATGATGTTCAGGATTCCAACTGGTCTGGGGTGATGGGGCCTAGGGTGGACAAGCCTAAGCAGTAGTGAGTGGGATAGGAAATGTTGGTTTCACTGCACAGATGGAGAAGCAAAGTCTCAGAGCAGTGAAACATACAGCACATGGGTTAGGGGCTCAGTACCATGTGTATGTCACTGGATGCACAGGAGGGCTCCTCAGCCCATGGGGCTGCAACATCACCCTCCTTGCTCCTGTGGGGAGGCTGCTGACTTTAGAACTTGCAGACCTGGGTGGGCTCCAAAGCTGAGCTGCTATTGTCAGAATCTCCTTCCAGTATCACAGGACTTATTCACTTCTAAGGCCCCGGCTTTCTCAGCTGTAAAGTAGGGAGGCTGAGAAGCAATGGAAACAAAGGTCTTGGTTCACAAGGCTTTGCATGTTGCCAGACTGGCAGGTCCTCCCTCATCATCTGTCTCCTTTGCAGGGTCTCCTTCCTCTACTCCATCTTTAAGTGCTATGTGTACCAGGGATCAGCAGAGGCTCCCTAGAACAACATTTTTTCAAACTTAATGTGCATACAAATCAAACACAGACTTTGTTATAATATATAGTCCTATTAGTTAGGTTTACGATTGGGCCTGAGAGTCTGCTTTCTTTTTTTTGAGTGAGAGTCTACTCTGTCATCCAGGTTGGAGTGCAGTGGCACTCACAGCCTCCCCAGCGTTGACCCGCTGGGCTCTGGCGATCCTTCCACCTCAGCCTTCCAAGTAGCTGGAACCACATGTGGCTGATTTTTTATTTATTGTAGAGACGAGGTCTCACCGAGTTGCTTGTGCTGGTCTTGAACCTCTAGGCTCAGGAAATCCACTCACCTTGGCCTCCCAAAGTGCTGGGATTACAGGCTGAGCCACCAAGCCAAGCCTTCCTTTTTTTTTTTAGAGACAGGGGTTAGCTCTGTTACCTAGGCTGGAGTGCAGTGGCATGATCATAATCACTGCAACCTTTAACTCCTGGACTCAACAGATCCTCTTGCCTCAGTCTCCTGAATAATTAGGACTACAGGGCACACCACTATGCCAGTTAATTTTCTAAAATTTTTTTAGAGATGGGGTCTTGCTATGTTGCCCAGGCTGCTCTCAAGCTTCTGGGTCCAAGTGATCTTCCTCCCTCAGTCTTCCAAAGTGCTGGGATTATAGGTGTGAGCCACCATGCCCCACCAGATTCTGTTTTTTTTTTTTGAGTTGGAATCTCACTTGGTCGTCCAGACTGGAGTGCAGTGGCCGCTCCTGGCCACTGCAGCCTCACCTGCTGGGCTCCGGCGATCCTTCCGCCTCAGCCTTCCAAGTAGCCGGAATTACAGGCATGCGCTACCACGCCCGGCTGATTTTTTTATTTATTGTAGAGATGAGGTCTCGCTGCCCAGGCGGGTCTCGAACCCGTGGGCTCAGGCAATCCACTCACCTCAGCCTCCCAAAGGCGCGGGATTACAGGCTGAGCCACCGAGCCCGGCTAGATTCTGTATTTCTATCAAGCTCCCACATGATGCTGATGCTGCTGGACCACACCTGGAAAAGTCGCTTGGCTTTGTAAACTTCCTTCAAGCTAGCAACTCCCAAATTTGTTTCCAGTCCAGACCTCTTCCCAGAACTCCAGATTCTAATTACAACTCTTACTTGGCATCTCTATTTGGATATTTAAAAGGTATCTCACACAGAGCTCTAAAAATTTCCCTCAAAACCTACTCTTCCCCTAAAACTCTTTCCCCCAAATCTAGAAGATATCCTTGAATCTCCTTTTTCTCTACATCCAAAATGCCAGCAAGAGCTGTCTACTTTACCTTCAAAACATCTTCTGACCCTGTCCACTCCCTCCCCATCTCTACTCTACCACCTTAGTCCAAGCCATCTCATCTCTTGCCTGCGTTACTGCTGTAGCCACTGACCTGGTCACTCTGCTTCCCTCCTGTCTCCTTCCCCCACCATCAATTTTATACATAGCAATCATAGTGATCTTTTTTTTCCTTTTGAGTCAGAGTCTCACTCTAACGCCCAGGCTGGAGTGCAGTGGCACGCTCACGGCCACTGTAACCTCAACTTGCTGGGCTCAAGGTGTCCTTCTGCCTCAGCCTTCCAAGTAATTGGAATCACAGGTGTGTGCCACCATGCCCGGCTAATTTTTTTGATTTATTGTAGAGACAAGGTCTCACCAAGTTGCCCAGGTTGGTCTCGAACCCCTGGGCTCAGGCAATCCTCTCGCCTCTGCCTTCCAAAGTGCTGGGATTACAGGTGTGAGCCATTGTGCCCGGCCATAGCGATCTTTTAAAAACATAAATCAGGTCAGAAACGGTGGCTCATGCCTGTAATTCCAGCACTTTAGGAGGCTGAATCAGGATTGCTTGAGCCCAGAAGTTCAAGACCAGCCTGAGCAACATAGCAAGACTTCATCCCTACAAAAAAAATTTAAATTAGCTGGTATGGGGACTTGTGCCTGTAGTCCTAGCTACTCGGGAGGCTGGTGGGGGGGGCCTGCTTGAGCCCAGGAGTTCGAGGCTGCAGTGAGCCATTATTGTGCCACTACATTCCAGTCTGGGTGACAGAGATCCTAACCAAAAAAAAAGGTAAATCAAATAATGTCACTCTCCTGCTTGATGACATTATTTTAGAAGTTTGTTGCTCACTTAGAATTAAACCTATGCCTAACCCTGGTTTACAAGGTCCAGCATGACTTGTGCAAATCTTTAGCTCTAAGGTAGCAGCTACATTAGCCTTCTCTCTGGTCCCTGAGCACACCCAGCATGTTTCCCCGTTGGGGCCTTGGTCCTGACTCTGCCCTCTGCTTCTCAGTCTTGGCCGGCCCCTTTTGCTATCCAGAATTCAGCTTCTGGGTTACCTCTCCAGAATGACCTTTCCTGACCATTCAACCTCTCACCCCAATTTAACTTTGAACATGTCTTTTCAGTAGCTGACCTTGGTTTAATTGGTCATGTCCCTTACTAGGAGGTAAGATCAAAGAAAACAATGACCTTGTTCATTACCTGGTTCATCAGCATCTAGAGCAGGGCCAGAATAGGTGCTCAGAAAATATTTATTTTTATTTTTATTTTTTTTGAGTCGGAGTCTCACTCTGTCACCCAGGCTAGAGTACAGTGGCATGCTCACGGCCACTGCAGCCTCGACCAGCTGGGCTCAAGTGATCCTTCACCTCAGTCTTCAAGTAGCTGGAACCACAGGCATGTGCTACCACTCCTGGTTAACTTTTTTATTTATTGTAGAGACGAGGTCTTGCCATGTTGCTAGGTCTGGTCTAGAACCCCTGAGCTCAGGCAATCTTCTCATTTCCATCTCCCAAAATGCTAAGATTATAGGCTTGAGCTGCCACGCCTGACCCTATTTATTTATTTTTAAAATTATTTGGTTTTTTTTTGAGTTAGAGTCTCACTCTGTCACCCAGACTGGAGTGCAGTGGCTGCTCCCGGCCACTGCTGCCTCGACCTGCTGGGCTCCGGCGATCCTTCCGCCTCAGCCTTCCAAGTAGCTGGAACTACAGGCACGTGCTACCACACCTGGTTAATTTTTTTGATTTATTGTAGAGATGAGGGCTCGCCAAGTTGCCCAGGCGGGTCTCAAACCCACGGGCTCTGGCAATCCATTCACCTCGGCCTCCCAAAGCATGGGATTATAGGCTGAGCCACTGAGCCCGGCTTTTAAAATTATTTTTAGAGACAGGATCTTGCTGTCGCCCAGGCTGGAGTGCAGTGGCATAATCATAGCTCACTATAGCCTCGAACTCCTGGGTTCAAGCAATCCTCCTGCCTCAGTCTTCCAGATAGCTAGGAATACAGATGTGTCCACGCCCAGTTAATTTTTAGAGAATATTTATTGCATGAGAAAATGTCATTCCCTTCTAGGAGCCTCAGTTTTCCCATCTATAAAATAAGGATAATAATAGCATCTGGCCAGGCTTGGTGGCTCAGCCTGTAATTTCAGCATTTTGGGAGGCTGAAGCAAGAGGATTACCTGAGCCTGTGGGTTTGAGGCCAGCCCCAGGCAATTTGGCGAGACCTCGTCTCTACAATAAATCAAAAATTAGCTGGGCGTGGTAGCGCATGCCTGTAGTTCTGGTTACTTGGAAGGCTGAGGCGGAAGGATTGCCGGAGCCCAGCAGGTCGAGGCTGCGGTGGCCGGGAGCGGCCACTGCACTCTAGTCTGGGCGACTGAGTGAGACTCCAACTCAAAAAAAAAAAAAAAAAAAAGATTAAATTAACTAACTATATGTATAAGGTCCATGCATAGTGCCCGCTACCCAGTCACTAGTGGTTAATAATACCATTACTGTTACCAATACTACAATGGAATCCCATGACAGGAAAGTGTGGACAGGGCCAGTGGGATTACCCAAATGATCTGATTCCAAGCAGCTGGACCCATTTCTTGTCACTGCCAAGGACCTCAACACCCGATAGCAAAGAGAGGACAAATTCAGGGATGAAGAGTGGAGGAGAGTGTGTTTCAACTCAACTGTAAGTTTATTAGAAAGGCTATGGACAGATGAACCCTGAGTTACCAGCTGAAGATATGAAGAAAAAAAAACACCCTGCCCCTCATGACCTGCCCCACTGGCCTCCTGTGAACTGTCCTGTGGCAGACCCCAATAGAAGTCAGCCAAAAAGTGCTTTCCACACCCTCTCCCTTAGGGCCACCCAACTTGACTGCAGGGGACCCACAGCGGGGGGGGGGTCAACGTGAATGCTGGTGCCTGGAGCTGGGAGCTAGCAGAGTGTAGGTCCTCTCCTCTACAGGAAATGGTTCTAGACCCCCCAGCAGAACAGAACGGAAAAGGAGATGACTGGGGATAGAGTAAGTTCTGCAAAACAGTCAGAGTCTCTGAGAGGTGACGCTGGACTGCCTTGGAGGTGTGTGCAGATGGCTACAGATGGCCAACCGTGGGAGTCCCAAGGGTAGGATCCCAAAGCTGTTCTAAGGAGTCTCAGTCACAGAGAGTCAGTCTACAGTCAGTCTAGTGTGACTCAGTGCCCCTCCTGGGGCCACACTGGCGACTTCCGCTCCCCAAAAGGCAATGGATCTCGTAAAAATCCACGGTGGTGGTTGATGTTATTTTTTTCCTTAAAAAAGAGTTTGTACAGTGAATCACTTTCAACCAGTAGTGCCTGAGCTGAGGAGAGTCCGCCCTGGGCGAGCAGAAGGCACTTCTCATACCCTCACTGGGGTGATCTGAGCTGGCTGCTTCCCGGGCGCCCTGGGGTTCCAGCTCCCTCTGGGAAGGATGCTGCCTCCATCAGGCTAGCCCCGCCCTGGGGCCTGAATGCTCTGGGCCCTCACAGTGTGGTGGATGGCAACTTCCTCACTCGCCGCTGGGCCAGGATGGATGACTCGATGGGCTTCAGTTGGGGAGTGGGCTTAGAGCTGTTGAGTGCGGAGTACGTGGCTGCCATGGCTCCCTGAGAAAGAAGGCAGGAAAGGCAGTTCACCATGGTGGGATGTTCAAGGGGGAACAGATGCATGATCTGGAGTTTTCAGAGGTTAAAAGCTGTGTCCTCCGGAGGATTGGAGGCCTGTCAGACTTGGGCTCCCTAAGGGTAGGGCTGTGTTGTCTTCTCCTCTGTCCTACCTCATGGTGCTTGATACAAACAGTTATCTCCCGGCTCTGCCCATACCACCTTGGCCTGACCCCCTTGGTGCCAAGCAGCGCAGGGCGATCATACCTTTACAAGCTGTAGGTCTTGGTGGGACAGCTGGCTCTGGGGAAGCTTGTCTTTCTGGGTGACCCATGGGTGCTGCAGGACCTGCTTAGCTGTGAGGCGCTGGTGGGGGTCTACATGCAGCATCTTGGACACCAGGTCCTGGGGGCACAGAAGGCAAGGGGGTGGTGGGAGAGCTGCAGGGAAGTAGACAGCAGCATCCTGCTGATGGGGAACAGGAAGGCAACCATGTTCCATGACCTCCTGCCTGAAGCCTTGCAACAGCCCCTGCAATTCATTCTTCACTCTGCTTCAGGGCTCCCTAAGCACTGCCAAAGCATTCCTTTCTTTGGGCCTTTGTTGCTCTAGGCCCTTCTCCCTGGAATGCCCTTCCCTTTCTCCTTTACCTTAAAAAAGCCATGTGGGAAGATGGGAAGAGCTTTAGGTTTGGAGTCAGGCAGACTCAGGTTCAAAACCTGACTTTTCTACTCACCAAAGGAGTGCCCTGGGCAAGTTACTTCAACTCTCTGAGCCTGTTTCCCCTCTGACAAACAGGAATAACAATAGCTGCCTCACAGGCCTGTGTGAGGTGGCACTGTTCATAAAGAACTCAATTCAGTGCCAGGTACAGAGGTTCCTAATAACCAGAAACTTGTTAACATTGAATGCTCAGATGCCATCTCCTTTTGGAAGGCTCTCTGCTCAGCATGATCAGTTGCTCTGCTCTTGCCTCCACTGTTCGTACCCCTTCAAGAGGACTCGCCTCTCTCTGTCACCTGGCATCTCTGTTCCTTATGTGCAGGCCTGTATCTTCTGCCACACTAAGATTCCACCAGGCAGGGACTGTGATTATGCAGCCCTCTGTGCCCTACAGAACATGAGAAGGGCCAGTGAATGATCACCAAGTTACTCCAACAAGGTAGGGCAGGGAATGGCCCACCTGGGAATCTTCCACTAGGAGAAATATAGCAGTGGGGACTTGTGGAATATTCCACTTGGAGAAATGCAGCTTCAGGAAAGCTGTTCATGCCTCTTTCCTCCAAACGAGCCCAGTGCAGGCCTCACAGACTCACCTTGGCTGTCTCTGAAACTGTGTTCCAATTTCCCCCACTGAGGGTAAACTTCCCACTGCCAATCCGGGTCAGAATTTCCTCTGGTGTGTCACTGGGCCCGTTGGCAAATGGAGTGTATCTGCAGAAAAGCCCCCACAGTCTGGGTGAGACTCTGGCCTCCATGCTGGGGCTAGGGGTGGAGTGGGAGACTGTGTCACCCCCTCAGACTGGGTGCTCCCCTGATGGAGCTCCCAAAGGCAGGGTCATGTTTCCATCTTCAGACCATCCTGAGGCAGGGCTGAACCTCTCCTCTCAGCAAGCACCACCCTGCCCAAACGCTAGGCCTGGAGGAGGGGGGAGGGGTCCAGACCAGGGGGTGCTCACCCTGCCAGCATGGTGTAGAGCAGAATGCCCAGGCTCCAGATGTCACAGCCTTCATCGTAGCCCTGGCGCTTCAGCACCTAGCAGTGAGGCAGGGGAGGGTGGTCAGTCTGGGGGGCAGCAGAATGTGGCCATAGGCTTGTCTGCTACTCCCCCAAAGGACAGGACAAGGATCCCAGCTATGGGTTAGATCTTCCCTTGGAACCTGGGCCAAGGTCACAGAGGCTAGAGTCCTGGCCAATGTGGGGAGTGGGAGGGGCTTCCAGAGAACACAAGGATCCCAGTTCTCTCTCATTCTTGCAGCTAAGAAGGCTGGACCACTCACCTCAGGTGCCACGAAGTTGGCTGTATAGCAAGGTGTCATGAGGAGCCCATTCTCAGCCCGTAGCTGTTTGGCAAAACCAAAGTCACAAATGCGCAGACACTCGGGATTCCCAGACTCGTCCACATATAGGATATTGCTGGGCTTGAGGTCCCTGTGCACAACCTAGGGGCAGAGGGCTAGAGTTAGATATCAGTGTGGGGAGGCTGCTAGTGGCCCAGCTCATGTGCCAGGGATGAGAAAGTTAGTGTGTAGAGAGACAGACGAACCTGGAATCCAGAATAAGGGAAAGGAGTTAAAATGGGGGCCTTAGTGCTGCTACTACTGTCTTACCTGATAGCTCCAACTTACCCTGTCCAAAGCTGAATTCCTAATTCTCCCCTAAAATCTACTGATCTTACCAGTGGCAGCTCCATCTTTCTTGCTGCTTAGGTCAAAATCTTGAGTCATTCTCAATTCCTCTTTTTTCTCATATTTTTCAATCAATCTATCAATAAACTCTGCTGGCCCTACCACCGAGGTACATCCAGAGCCCAACCATTTCTCAGTCCTCTAATGGTAGCATTCTAATCCCAGCCACTACCATCTCCCCTACTCTATCCCTCCTGGATAACTGCAACCATCTCCTAACTCATCTCCCTGTTTCTGCTCTTGCCTCCAACCTGTCTCACCGCAGAAGTCAGACAATCATAAGTCAGATCATGTCATCCTGGCTCGAAACCTTCCAAGTCATTCCCATAGAGGTTTTACAATGACCTATATGGCCCTACCTGATCTCTCTTCTTCCTAGAACCACATTTCTTACACTCTCTAGCCTTCTAGTGCACTCCTCTTTCCTGAATCTACTTCAGCCACACCAGCCTCTCTGTTCTTCCTTCAACATGCCAAGTATACTCTTGCCTCAGGACCTTGGCACATGAGGTTCTCTCTTTCTGGAACACTGTTCCTTCATACATTTGCCTGGCTCATTCTCTTTCTTCTTTCAGGTCTCAGTTCAACGGTCACCTTATCAAGTGAGGCCTTCCCTGACCATCTGATATAAAATAGCAACCACCTCTCAGGACTCCTTAGTCTCCTGATACTGTTTTATTTTTACTTATAGCATTTGACACCACTTGACATATTAATTTGTTTTCTGAATCTGCCCACAGGAATGTAAGTTCCATGAGTGCTTTGCTCCCTGCTATATCCCTGGGATATAGCAGGACTTAGAATAGTTCCTAGTACATAGGAAGGATTCAATAAATATCTGTAAAATGAAGCAATAAGCAAATTACTTTCCTTACTACTGAGGAAATAAACAAATTACTTTCCTCTGAACCCCATTTGCTCCTCTGTAACCACTTTTCATCCTTCCCCTCTCCCTTTGTATGGTGCTATTCATAGTCAATCTTCTAGCTATCACCTAATTACCAACAACTCTCAGATCTCTAACCCTAGTCAAGAACTTTCCTGAGTCTAGGCTCATAGAACCAGATGCCTACCACATGGCAATTGCAGGATGTTCTACAGAGCCTCAAACTCAATACATCCCACACTAAACTCATCATGTTCTCACCCTCCTGCTTCTCCTCCCATGAGCTAATAGAATCTCCCTGAGCATTGTCAAAAACCTTTAATGGCTCCCTACTACCTGTAAGAGAAAGCCCAAAGTTCCTAGCCTAGCATGGGAGGTGCATGAATCTGTTCCAGCTTCATAGCCTAATGTATCATTGCTTTAGGCCCCTGAGCTCAGGCCGCTGGGGGCAACTTCAGTAACAACTACAGCCATATCCATCTATGAAATGCCTGTTCACCTCCAGCATACAGTGCAGGGCCTAGCACAGAGCAAGTGGTAAGAGAATTTGGTACAATTAATGATTGAATCACATCTCTGACACAGACACACTACAGTTTAGATTAGTTGAGTCTTAGAGATTAGTTGGCTTTTTGAGATGGTTCCTTCATAGTCCCCGTTGAGCCTTGAGGTCCCTAGCAGATGCCTGTGGAGTAGACACACTGGAGGGCAGACATGGCTCAGCATAGGCCACCTCCACAGGGGGGAGAGTGCTGGGAAGATAAGGAGAAAAGGGCCATACTGACAGGGTGGCCCCAGTGACACAGTTCCAATTGTATCCAATCCCTGGAGAAGTCCCTGGGGCTGTCTCCTACAAACACAATCATGTGGCCCAGGGCACAAGTCCAGCCTCCCAGGAATGTAGACTCTTTTCCCTGCAGAGGATCCAGCTAAGCTTCCTAGAGGTCAGGGATGCTCAGCATGGTAACTACCCTGTACAAGTGAATTCTCAGCTTGTAAAGTACTTTCCGAGTCATGATCTCATTGGCGCCATTCGGTACCATTCTGTACTGCGGTAAGTGAGCAGGCAGGGATTACTAGCTCCATTTTACAGAGGAGAAAACTGAGATACTGAGAGGTCAGTTGACTTGCTCATGTAAGTCAGAGGCAGAGGCAAGACTTGAATCCAGTTCTGACCTTAATTCTACAGTCTTTCCAGCTTAGTGTGGCACAAATGACTTTTGGGAAACAGGGATATGGAAGTTTTTCATCTTTATCCTACCCTAACACAACATAGAGAAACAACGAACTCTTATAGGGCACTGTCTCACCACTGTCAGTAGAAGAATAGTTGGGATGGCGGAGAAGCAGGAAAAGCACAGTGTGAAAAAAAGTCCCTAGCCGGGCTCGGTGGCTCAGCCTATAATCCCGCGCCTTTGGGAGGCTGAGGTGAGTGGATTGCCTGAGCATGCGGGTTTGAGACCCGCCTGGGCAGCGAGACCTCATCTCTACAATAAATCAAAAAATCAGCTGGGTGTGGTAGTGCATGCCTGTAATTCCAGCTACTCGGAAGGCTGAGGCGGAAGGATCGCTGGAGCCCAGCAGGTCGAGGCTGCGGTGGCCGGGAGCGGCCACTGCACTCCAGTCTGGGCGACAGAGTGAGACTCCAACTCAAAAAAAAAAAAAAAAAAAGTCCCGTAGGTGATTCTGGTACCTGACCCTGGTAAAAGTCCCACAGGTGACTCTGGTGCCTATGTATGTAGGAGAAGGCAGATTATATTCTCATATCTCACTGTACTGAAAACCACAACAGGCAGGGCAAGTAATGAGTGAAGCGAGGCAGAGTGAGAATCTCCAACCAGCCCAAAGAGGTCAGCTGCTACTTGACTCCTGCTGACAGCCACCATGTAACAACTAGGGGCACATTTTTTCAAAAACAGCCAAACCTAATCCCTAACAAAAAAACATCTAACATCTTGCAGGTCAAGCAAAATATGTGTGTAGGCCAAATGCAGCCACTGAGGCAATAGGCCGAGACCTCTAGCAGAGTAGTGATTTCAGTCACAGGAAGGAGTCAGGCAGACTAGGGTGTGATTCCTGGCTTTACCATCCACTCATAGCTGTGTGGTCTTGGACATGTTATTTAATCTCTCTAGTCCTCAGTTTTCTTACTTGTAAAATAGGGCTGATAATAGTGGTCAACTCCCAGGGTTGTAGGAAAGAGCAGGAATATTTAGCACTGGGCTTGGGAAATGGTAGCTGTTGTCATGGTAACCCCAGAACTGCCTGGGGCTGAACCCCACTATCATGCTGGATGCTAAGATACAGTGACTGCTTGTGAAGAACCACTTAAAAACTAGAAGTCAAGAAGGACAAGAAAATTAGAGGACAGATACTGTCCAAATAAGCATCTGATCACACGTATAATTTAAGAGTAGAGACACTGGAGTTAGATTAGCTATGAGACTTCGGGCAAGTTACTTAAGCACCCAGAGCCTCAATTCCCTGATTTATAAAATGTATATAGTGATAATACCTTCTTTGCAGGTTCGCTGAAACAATTAAATGAATTAATTTGCAAAGTGCCTGGCCTGTGGAAAGTGGCACATAATGTTAGGTGCCATTAGCAGTAGGACCAGTAGGTAGCAGCAGCGTCCTTACCATCATCAGCAGCAACAGAAGATGCACATTTAAAAGCACCTGTGGGCCGGGCTCAGTGGCTTAACCTGTAATCCCAGCGTTTTGGGAGGCTGAGATGAGTGGATTGCCTGAGCCCGCAGGTTCGAGACCCGCCTGGGCAACTTGGCAAGACCTCATCTCTACAATAAAAAAAAAAAATTAGTCAGGCGTGGTAGCGCATGCCTGTAGCTCCAGCTACTTGGAAGGCTGAGGCGGAAGGATTGCTGGAGCCCAGCAGGTCGAGGCTGCGGTGGCCGGGAGCGGCCACTGCACTCCAGTTTGGGTGACAGAGTGAGACTCCAACTCAAAAAAAAAAAAAAAAAAGCAGAATC